AATGAATATGCAATATTTTTTTGTTTTATTTTTTCTCATAAAATTAAATTTGCTAATTTTAGAAACTCAGTAACAATACTGTTATTTAATGTTAGAGACTCAGAAACAATACTGTACTTGGACTTCCAGAAGTATCTTTAAACAGAACCCTCAGCAAAGTTTATAGTGTAATTCAATAATTATTTATGTTAATTAACTTGCAGCCATGAATAATAAATAGATATGATTATGAAAGTCTTGGCAGATCTTTATGTTATGGCACGATCAGACTGATACATCCACCAACAGCGACATTTTAAGTGGCAAAATTAGATACTGTGTACTTAGAAGAGTTTTCTTTTCTAATGTAAGGAATTAAAGGCATTGTCACCCAGACAGTATAGTGGTTAGGTAAGCATACTACGGTACCAAAGAGCCCCGGTTCGAACCCCTGAGAAGACATGGATGTTTGTAAATGTATAGTGTAGGTGCGGCATAGCGCACTTTAAATATGTGTGGATTGAGGGAAGGGGAGAGGGGTAGGAGACACCCGGAACCATGGAGGTAGGAAAGGGAGGAGGGGCCATTCCGCGCTAGAAGTGAAGCACTGTTTTGAAGCTTGGGTCACCAGACGGGGTGTCCTTTGTTTACATTCAGAAGCTCGCTTGACAAGATTCTGATAGTATTTCGACACACGACAGTTCCATAGAAATCGAAAAGGGACCCTCTCGCATGAAAGAAACATTCATAGTGTGATGGATAATAGCAATTTGTATAGTTTACTGACATTTACGCAAAAATCACATCTTGGTTATTTTTCGATAACTAACAACAGCGATTTTGATTATGAATTTGTTTTATAAAATTCTAAGCAGTTGCACTACAAAAAATATAGATTTTAAGAAAATTGCTAAAAGAGATCTGCCAAAATTATTTCTAGAAGATTTGAAAAGTTTGAAACTTGATGGCTAAATGTAAATATAAAATTATGTATGTTAAAATATTTGTAATTAGGCACATAGGTCAGATTAAGTTTTTATTAAATAGAGTAACGCATGCAAGGGCTATCTGCCTAAAGAGAGAGATGTCCATCGTGGAGGAATTTTGAAGAAAAACTGACCTTTGAGTGGGTATTAAAAATAATACTTATAATTTTCATTCAAATTATATTCATATATATTTTTTATGTAAAACTTTCGGGTGTATGCTAAATTAGTGTAAATTACTTTACACGAAAAATATAGTAAATGCACAGAAATTTAAAGATTTGCACATGCCGGAAATGATAAATAGGAAATATGTATGGGTATTTATGCATGTGCTTGCAAAAAAGCATGTATCTGCCTTTGACAAAATACTTAAATATTCATTAAATTATTTATAAATGTATTTGAAATGAAGAATTTATTCACTTATAAACAACTGTGAAAGTACTGTGAAGAAAATCTAATGATTAAATGTATCTAATTTATAATGATTATAAATGTTATCTAAATATATAATAACCTTAATATTGAACTGTAAACATAAATTGAAATCTGTTGACAAATACGTTATAAAAAACTATTTAAGCAAGAATTGTTCGTATTGGAAAGCAATCTGTTAAAAGGTATTGTAAAGCAAATGCTATGAGATGCGCACTTAAGAACGTAATAAAGAGTTTAGGAATATGTATTGTTGAAATGAAGGGTAAAAAAAAAAATCTGATAGTATAATTAAAAGAATTATTCCCTTTACATTTTATAATAACTCAGTTACAAGTTTTAAATAATACTAAAAAAAAAAAAACTTATTTTATTTCCCTTTCAGAAATGTTCAGAGAAAGTCAAATACTATTTAATACCCATTTAATTATTAGGAATTAGCGAAATACTTATTTAAAGTATTTCGCTAATTCCTAATAATTCTCTAATTTAAAATGAACCGAATAGAGCATTAATTATAAATTGACTTACATTTTTCGATTTAAAAAGAAGCCAAAAAATCATGTCATATTTAAGAAAGTATTTTAGGAAGAAGCTCTATAAATAGAAAAGAAATAATGCATAATTTTAATATAATAATACAATAAACTTTGATCTTAATTTTTGTACCTTAACCGAATAAAATCGAATTACCTTAATTTTTTTTTTTCTAATGTAATTAACGAAAACTCTGTGAAAATATTTCATTCAAATTAAACCATTCTGAGAAAACTGTCCTGTGAAAAGTATAGCATTTAATTTTCGTTCAGAATGAAATGTTGTTTAAAAATATGTTGTTTTCACATACTTAGGACTCTGAAGTGTTGTAGAAAAAGAAAATATATACATTTATATGTATATTTGCGACGTAATTACAAAATATTTACACCCGAACGCGTCAAATCCCATAGAACGCAATGGTAAATGATCCAATGTTTTGGTCACCACGTAGGGATCGCCGGTGCTTCAGAGCAGGGTACGGAGAAACTTGTTTAGGGGACTCCATCTTACTTCCTACCTCCATGCCCGGAACCCCTGAGTGCTCTCCCTCAAAACTATGGGTGGAAAATAGAAGTCCAACCTCTCTTCGGAGTAGGCTCTGCAACCATTGTTGCATGTAATATAGGCAAAACAATAACAGCAATAAAGGCATTTGCGATACGTTGCGACGCAAGAGTTTTTAATATTCTATTTAAGCTTTTCCCATTTCCGAATTTCTCGAGGTGGCAAAAAAATGTCGTGCTGCTTTAGATTCTTTTTTCTTTCTGAAGATTTCTGTGCCACTTCCTTCTTCATGTGAGATGAGGACATCAAAAATCATGCCATTTCTGCCTTTCCCTCTATTTTCTCCCTTTACTATATTTGGTAGGAATATGTTTGGAGAGGGCAGGTGTTAGAAGAAAGAGGCTCGACAATATAATGACATGTGTTTTATCACGTGTTACTGTTTTGTAAAAAGGGTGTTCACCCGACTGTATTAGGTATCAACGCCACAGGCTTTAATATTGCGTCTGTTCAAGTTTGAAATCCGGCATATACAATGCATAGGCATTCTATAGAAGGCCTATGCATTGTATATAATGTCTAAAAGTAGCCGGCAATGTATGAAACGATTAATATTTCACACAATTTTGTAGACATAGACATTCTATTCCTAACTACAGAATGACAAATGACAAACCGGCAAAGTATGAAATACATTTCTGGTTCGTTTCGAAGAACCAGACTACTAACCAGAAGTTAATAAACGATGTAATAAAGCCAAAATGACTACTAAGAAGGAACTACGGGACTAGTGGCTGCTGAATCGCTAGGATGTGATGTTTGTGGGAAAAAAAGTACATTCATTTATCCAGTTAAAGAAAATGTCATTAATATACAGTATTACGCCACGGACGTTGAGTTATTTCTCGTACTTCATGAAAACTCATTTTAGTGCTGGATACGGATGACGTGACAGAATGTTGAAAGAACTTTAAACCAAAGACAAAAATGTTACACGTAATGATATTGAACTGTATAACCACCACTAAAAAGTATTAAAAAGGCCATTGTTATGAAACTTATGACTGTTTCTGAATTTAATTTCTGCTGTCAGGTAGATCTTATTGATTCCCAATCTCAGCCAAATAGAAAGTGCAAATTTATTATGTTGTATCCAAATCATCTCACTATTTTTTTACATATTTAGAATAACAGTTTTTAATGGCACTGTTTCAATAATTTTTAAAAATAATATTTGTATTTTTTAGGAATAAACGTCTTTTAAATAAAAGCCTTATCATTGCATTTTTTTCATACTTTCCTTAAAGAGCATTTGCCATTATATAGAATGCCTAAGTGTTATATACAATGCCTAGGGAAAATATGTAATAATTCCCATATTTCATATTTTACCAAAAATCGCCCGGCATTATATACAATGCTTAATCATACTATAGAATGCCGGCATTTTATACTTTACCGGTAACATGTCTAATCTGAACTCAAAATATAAAGGACGAAGTACTATTATGACATTCTTTTATACACATTTTTACGTCAACATTTAAAATTAGCCAAAACTACAACCAGTTTTTCGTGTAGATTTTGAATTAAATTCATCCATTTCGAGGGCAATCAAATCTAGGTCCCTCTTTTTCAGAAGCAAAAAATGTTGAAATACGTTCCAGTCACGTCTCATCGCGTCTTCGGCTTAACATGAACCCTGGATGTAAAAGTTGTAATGGGAAATCTTCTTACCTATCACATACTGAGAGACTGAAAAGGAAGTATTCAAAACCTCATCTAGCAAAGCATGTAGTGCGACATAACAGCAAAAGTTAGCTGCCCAAACCTGTTATATTGAGATCATGTGTTTAGCTACGTTTGATGGTATGATTTATTTCTGTTTCTCAGATTTCCAGGATCTTTAAAATAATAAATATCTCTAATCTGTGTTTTTAACCACGGTTCATTAAGTGAGATTTGTATACTGCATTCTTGCTCGCTTGAATGAAACTTTCTTTCCAAAGTATTTCAAATTATAATATGATATCGTAATTGCAATTCCTTTTTTCTCCATGCATATAAATATAAAATCTGTGATAACTAACGATAGAGGTCATTTTCCTAGTTTTATTAGGTTTATTATCTTATTTACTGAATGAAGATGCATAATATCGATATGACTCAAAAATTAAGTTCATTTTGTTTACGCGTGATCATTTAATAGGACAGTTATTTCTTAAAATACCCAAAGTAACCAAGCTTTTCTGTGAAAACCATTTGCGTCTTAGGTCTTTTTCTGATAAAGGATTATCATGTTATCTATGTTTGTATTAACTAGACGACAGATTTATAGACAAAAATACTGATATTCTTAATAGACCAAACCAAAGGAACTCTTGACCTATTAGGGTAAAATCGCTTGAAAGAACATTCATTGATAACCTCTGGTAATGACAGATATTATCTTCTTTTCTTTCCTATGCTGTTCATTATTCAGAAATTTTTATTACTCCGCAACATTGCCCTCAAATATTGTTTACGTTAACAACCTATAAATGCAGCGAATTTCTTTCGAAAAGTAGATTTTAAGTAGTTAGAGGATTCCAAAATGCCACGATTTTCCCTTGTATTCTGCTTAGCGGTGCTAGTCGCATTCACGATCGTCACAGATGCCCGCAGAAGGGACCGTGGCAACAGACATGGACATCATCACAGACACAGGCATTGCCCTCCCGATCCCCCTTGCAACTGCACGACGGGGATTGAGCCACCCGTCACGGAAACTATAATCAATGAAGTTGCTGAATCTGCACCTCATGATGATAGCAGCAGTGAGGAGAGCGATGAGCACCATGGACCTGGACACGAGCATGGAGAAGGACACGAACATGGACATGAGCATGGACCTGGACATGAACATGGAGAAGGACATGAACATGGAGAAGGACATGAACATGGAGAAGGTCATGAACATGGACCTGATCATCCTCATGGTCACCATCATCGCCATCGATGCCCTCCACCTAGGCCTTGCCCTTGTTCCACAGATGCGCCCGAAATCACCACGGTGTGAGACAGTTTAAAGATTAAAACTGCGTGATACCTTGAGCAAAAAGAACGACAGACCATAATAACATATTTCAAATTGCGATGAAGTTCCTGATGTTTTATTTACGTTCCAGAGGTATTCAGACACTCAAAAGTATTTTTTTTTTAACCAGTGCAAACTAATTTAGAGTACTTGTTACAGCAAATAAGGTTCTATAGTTGTGATGAGCTAATCTATTCGAAGATTTACTTGTTGACAATGGTTGAGAAATGGAAATGGTTCATATACATCTTACAAAATATTTTAATAAAAACTGTATTTTTGCACTGTTATATATTTTACCAAGTTATGTTTCCTAATGTTTAATACATATCGTCAATGTGAATGGAATTTAGGTACGATATGAAAAACAGAAGCAGGTATGTAGATATTTTACTTAACAACAGATGGTAAAAAACTTGTCGAATGTTTCATGATATGTTAACGATCTCAAACTACAATTTATCATTCTTAGATGAGAAATTCTGTTAAATTATTAATTTCTTATGATATAACTGTTTGCCATGGTTTTAAAGAATTAGCTCTTCATGTACTTTAAAGATTTCTTTTAACTGAAAATACAGAGCTAGAAAACTGATTAAAATCGGAAATTAATTTAAGTGTTGGCATGATAATTTAATCTTTGGAGCAATTTTTATTTCGAATTGTAACTCTATGAGACTTTATTTTTAATTATGTACACATTTTATATTATATATGTTAAATATAAATTCATAATCATGAAAAACTAAGACTTCTGTTTCGTTTTAAATTCTAAGTAAAATATTCATTTTCAGCTTGTAATTCGTCTGTGAATGATAAGCAGCAATTTATTTGACAGTGGAGTATTCCCTATGAACTAAATTCATTATTTTCTTAGAAGGTTTCAATTTGATACTGTTGCATTCTGATTTTCTTTTCTAGCTGTGATCTTTTTTTGTTAGCTAGTTTTTTAAAACTGCTTAATCGAAATTACTTGAAAGGTTAATCTGAAAACCTTTTATATACATGATTTTAACATATTACGACTACTAGTTTAATCATAAAAGTTTATTGAGGCATTTTGAATGAAAGAAAAATACAAATTTCAAGCACTTTAATAAAAATTTCTTTCACTAATACCATTCATTTACACATCCGTTTCTTTTTTATTGTAATAATTAAATAGGTAAGAAGTTCTTGGAATTGTTGGAGTTACATATATTGAATACAATAAACGTAAACGCAGACTGACTTCTGAAAATTGCATAAATTTTAATTTTTTGAATTTTGAATTCTTGTGATTTGAATTATAAAAGTGTCACTACTGACTTGGGTAGTACGAAGAGATTCCATAATTTGAAAAATCTAATATTTTCGGCTTCCTGATAACTGTTTTCTCTGTAAATTCCGTTTATCAGTAGGATATCAAATAATATTTATTCCTTCTGAATATAGTTTAAAAGCGTAAGTTTTGTTATTAATTCAAAATTTATATTCAGTTGTTTTTGATTATCAGATATCCAGAATTTTTTTTACAGTTTATGTCAGAGCCTAATTTACTTTATCATAGCTGTCAGAATTGAGGATTGCCATAATTTAGGATTGTACTGCGTTTAGAAACATCCCGAATCATAGGGCTGGATATACAATTTCATTGTTCGGTTGTCCTTGTCGCAGTGATAAATTATTTACCAGATAAATTATTTTTGAGTAGGAAAGTTATAGACCTAACATAACATTACATAAAGAAATTTTGCATTGATATGATAGCATAAAAACATTAAGAATCTAACTAGTCTTTCTATAAGAGTATTATTATGTAATACCACGAGTAAAGTATTTTTAACTATACATAAAATGTAATAACTGTAGGATATGATTACATTTTATGGAAGATATAAGTCTATCTCATTCACTTTAAATAATTTTTGCATAACTTAAATGATATGGTGACAAATTTCGTCTTTTGCTCAGCACGAGTCGAGTAGTAAATTATAATTTTCATGTAGAATAGAAGTTCTGCAATGCAAGTTTGCTTCTATTAGGCATTCAAAGATGCTCAGGATCGCCCTTTCACGATAAACGCAGAATTGGATGGAAGCTAGATTTTCTTACAGGTACGCTGGAAAGAGACATGCTTGTTAATGAAAAGATTTAAAAGTAACTGTTGATTATGTTTTTGTTTTTCAACGTTAGGGAATATACTGAAAAATTATTCGTCTTTGGCTGTCTTGTTCCCATTCTTTTTGTCATATTTCTGCGCTTATCTTTGTAAGAAAGATTTTTAAGTAAAAAATCTGGGATTTCGGTCTCAACCTCAGGCAGTGATGTATATTGCTGTGCTTCTTTTGTGCGGATATTTTGTATGTTCCTTATTTGCTCTTGTTTGTGGTTGCCTAAATCTAATTGGTCCTTATTTTTAGGAAAAGATAGAGTTTAATTTTTGAGCTTAGAATGAGCGGAGGGAAATAAAGACTGTCAGGAAAGGTAAAAAAAAAAAAAAAAAAAAAAAAAAAAAAAAAAAAAAAAAAAAAAAATTACATGAATAAACTAATAAAATGTAAAGAAACTAAAAAAAAGTTAATAAATGAAATTAAATCAATGGCAAATAGTTAAATAATAAATTCAAATTTCGAGGCTCATCTTATTTGTGCCTTCGTCTCGAATAACGATTTTATTCAAGCTAGAACGTACCGGAGCTGAATTGAAGCTTTGGAGATGGGCAAGATAAGATTGCATTTAATTAACGAAATGGAGGTATAAAGAATAAGAATGAAATCAAGAAATACAATTGAAATTAAGAAGAAAATATCTTTATTTATATCTTTCTTCCAATAGTACTGTATGATCTGTGATTAACAACATACGAAACCATTCTTCAAAAATATCCAACACTGCGGCAGAAGTCAACTTTATAGATATAATTTGAATGATTTTATTTATTTATTAGAAGTCAAATTATGAATGCAGTAGTATGTGTTTTTGAATGTATATTTATTAAAGTAAAATCTGAACTTGGTGAATCAAAAGAGGTGTAAATGGATAAAGGTTTAGGCAAAATCTTCCTGCGTAGAAGCTATTATAACTACAATTTATCATTTGAAGCCCTTTAAGTATCTCACAATTTATTCTAAACATTTACAGCATCTTATAGTCTCATCCTCATGTCTTTCTTTAATGTACATTTCTCTTGAAATTATTGAGCGAGAAGGAAAGTAAGTGACTAAAGAACACTAAACTTTCATATCAAATCAGTCCAAATTTACTTTTAAAATATTACTTACGTGAATACAACCCATGTTTCAATTGACAAACGATATTTCGCACTCATATACGCAGTATTAAGTAAAATACTAAACAAGAATGAAGTTTGGTATTTATTTTCTCCAGAAAATAAATATAAAAAATAAATCAATATAAAAGGAGTTCAAATCTTTCCACTTACTTAAATTTTTTCACAGATATTGCGAGTATAACATTTTCTCTGTAGCACATGAGAATATCGTTATAACTAATAACTGATTTGTTAAACCCAATTAAAACTCCAAAAAATTTATTTCTGGAAAAAATGCATTTGACAGTTTGAAACTTTTGCACACTGTAGGAAAAAGCACGAAATATTCCATATAGATGATTAAAAATAACAGATGAAATAATTCTAAAGGATTAAAATCTAACATATATAGACAAACATTGAAAGAGTCATGTGATACTATCATGTCTGTATACTTAAGAAATTTCATTCTGTACAAAAATTTGCATTCAGTAACTTCAGTAACTTATTACTTCAATAACTTCATTCAAGGTTGGTTCAATAACTTCATTCAAAACATATGAAAAAAAAAAGCTTAAAAGACAAAAAAATTAGGAAGCCTTGAAACAGCTTTATGACAGCATGTGTTCCTTCCCCTCATGTTTTGCATAGGATATTTCCAAATGCCTCGTGAAACATATGTAAATTTTGATATTTTATAAAAATTATTTATTATGTTATTTCAATTTATCATGTTATTTTGAGTGAAAATTTTGATATTTTGTTAATATTTCATATTGTTATAACTACACATGTATCAACCTAAAGCAATAATGAGATTTAAATAAACAAAACTATCGTGCATATATATATATATATATATATATATATCAAGAGATAATAATTAAAGCGAAATTATATCATGAAAGTGTGGGCTAGACTATAACAGAAAATATTCATATCAAAATTAGAACAAAAAAACAAACTCTTCACTAATTAACTAATTGCAGCATACTGATAATTTTAATCATAAATATCATCTTAATTTTAAATTTCTCAACTTTTGTTTATGTATAATATATATATATATATATATATATAATATTGTATGATCTTAAATTCACTTAGTGCGAATATATATATATATATATATATATATGTATGTGTGTGTGTGAGAGAGAGATCGCGTTCATCAATGCGTTCTTACCAAACTTTTATTTAGTAACTGTAGGTCGCGGACAAACGCTCCCAGTTACAAAAACGGTTTTATGTGACATAAGTGATAGGATACAATTAAAAAATATTATTTTATTCATTCAGAGGCCGTAAACAGGGAGTTGCAACAAGATTGCATGACTAAATATCAAATGAACTATTGTCACAAATACCTGGTTCAAGTTTAAAAAATGAATCAAAGTAAGTTTTATGTAGAAATCTTGCTCGCGAAACAGATTGTAAAAAATATATATGAGCAGATTTATCTGATCCCCCTTAAAAATTTTATGAGAAATTAGCTTTTTACAGATGAATCACTCAAAAATATCTGAAATTATTAGAACAAAATTACCTGAAGTATAATTAATTAAAATTTTGAAAGTAGTGAAAATATTTTTTACGATAGCTGTGCCAAAACGTTTGTTTGTGCCAAAAAAAATTGTTTCGATACCCTTAACTGCAGACAAATATATAAGTGTTTTAAATTTCCTTTTTTTATAATTCAAAAATGTTTTAAATTTTTAAAGGCAGAATCTATTTTATGCGGCATCTTAAACTAATGAGTCTTGTCGTTTTTCACCAAATTAATTTACTAAAGTAGTAGAAAATTGATAAGTTTTAGAACCAGTTTTGGAAATCATTTAATTTTATATTCATTTTTTAAAATCGAAACTAAAAAAAAATGATAATAACACCTTGACCAAGACTTCCTTCAAGGTGTTAAATAGTTCCAAGATGAGAGCTGTGGAATTGAATATTTTATAAGTTTCAGATATCCTGATTAGGCAATTTGGGAGAAAAAGCCCCAAAGACCTTATTTCAGAATGAACATCTTTCGAATGCGAATTTTAATGGAAAATGTAATTGAAAAGAACACCCAATAAAAGATATGTGAATTATATTGCTAACCCATGATAACAGGTTTTTAACTTTGCTACCACCTACAGAAACCCTTTTTCGATTTCAGTTATCTTTTACGATATCAATAAATGGCTTTTGAACATTGATCAGCAGATGCTGAAAAGTTGCTGAGAGTTGACAGATACTATTTGCCCTAGTTAAAGGCAACTGAGCATATGCATCAAAATGCAAAATATTGATTATTAATATCTTTGAATTCATACAATTTAATGACTATTCTGAGTTTCTAAAGAACAGTTTTTTCAGCCCAGAGATCAGTGATCTTGACACACAAATTTATACTCTTTATTTATACATAGGTATATCAGGTTCAGGTTCAGGTTGTAGTGCAGCGGAAACCCAATGTTTAACCATAGGTAATGTGGGTATTGTCCAACTGCACTATCTTTGTATTTGAACATTGTAATTTTTTTGAAAGAATTTTGAAATATTTACGTTTTTTCATATGACATATAGTGCCTTTCATACTCGAATATATAACGGAAAATATACAACATAATGATAAGTACAGAACATAAAGGCAAATATATAACATAAAGGTAAATATATAACATATTGAGACATAATGACATACATATAACAATACATTTAGGAGCAGCATTATTATATACATAAATACAAAGAACACTTTTTTGTCTGTATATCTAAGAGAGTATATACTGAGTCAGGCAGAAATTATTTTGCATATGATTTTTTTTCAGAATATTTTTGACTTTTTTTTTATTTTATTGGATGCATAGTGTTGTATCGTCCTCTAGTCTTTATGTTAATTCTAGTCTGTACTTTGTCAATTGTCTTCAATATTTGTCAGTAGTATTGTCTTAATTTAAATTTTGAAAGTTCCAGTGTGTTATTTTGCTTACCTGTGTTACATATTCTCTCCTCATAGCGAGTAACTGAGTTCTATTTCTATGTTTTAAAGTTTGAAGCACCTATAACATAGTATATGTGTTTGCCTCCTCGGTGATTGCGGTGATTTGTGCCCAGAGGGCGCACCGCACAAAAAGTTAGTTGCGTTACAGAACGTAAGGGAAGCGGACACGCCAAAATGTCGGGCGTATTACCGCTAATTGAGGTAATTGCATCGTATCTGTCAGGTGGCAGAAAACTAGTATGATGTATCAATTCACATGCCAGGTGGCAGAATATGTCTATCATGTACATGCCAGGAGGCATAACGCTTGTAAAACATGCCAGGTGGCATACGACTTGTAAATAAATTGTAAATAAATGTACAGTAAAATATCTTGGTGCAATAGATCAAGGAACAAGCATCAACAACCTTCTGATCATTTGGATACGTACATTTTTTCTGGTGACCCGGACGTGATTTGTGGAGATGAAGAATGGACGAAGAAAATTAGTGAGTTCATGACTGAAAAGCCAGGATTTAACGCGAAGAAATTCGAGGTAGGCCCTTTTTCATTTTTCCAGTTTTGAATAGAATTGTTGAATAAAAATCTTGGTGATTATTATAGTTGATAGAATCTAATGGTAAAATGGAGGCTATGAATAAGGCAAAGAAGTTGCGTACGGTGACGCGTAACTTAACTACTAAGTTGATGAGTAAAATAGATTCTGCATTGTTAGAAGAGGGTGAAACCGCGGATGAGAAATTAAAAGAATTACTCGAAATGTTACTTGAAAAATCGCAGTTGTTGAAACAATACGATTCTGAGATTGAAAAACTTATAATTACGGAACAGGAGTTGGAAACAGAAGTAATTTCCGCGCAGGAATATCAGGAAAGAATTATAAGTTTTAAATGTAAAATTCAGGAAAAATTAAGAAAAAACGCGTGTAAAGTTGAATCTAGAAATTCTAGTGAGGAAACTATATCTCCGAAGTTGAAAACTTGTGAAGTTAATACTTTAAAATTGCCAAAATTAACGATTACAAAATATTACGGTGATCCTTGTTCTTGGCTTGAATTCTGGAATCAGTTTAGTAATTCCATTCACCAAAACGAAAGTCTCAGTTCGGTTGACAAGTTTTGTTATTTAAAATCGCTTTTGGGAGGTTTAGCTTTAAATGCTATTAGTGGATTAACATTTACTAGTGAAAACTATACGGTGGCTGTTGATATACTAAAAAAACCGTTTCGGCAGAGATGACCTGCTAATTAATGCGCATATGAATAAATTGTTG